TTGGTTCTTTCTCCATCAAAAGTTGCACATGTTGCTGGGAGCAGAGAAGCTGCAGCTGCCCATGGCTTATAGAAGGCCTCTCTGTGTAATCTTACTGTCTTGTAGTGGTGACTGCAGGGGTCTGAGTAAAGCAGAATAGTGAGTCCATTTGTGTCTGTCCTGCTCGCACATCTAGCTAGTGGTTGGCATGAGTGGTGCAGGCCCTTCCATCATACGAGCACTTCTCATGCCTGCCATGTGGGATCTTTGAGATGGATCTTTGAGACATTTGTAAGTTAGAACTGGAATATTTGCATTTGTATGTGGTATTGTGTGGCAGATAGTTCACTTAGGTGTGCTGATATTCCTGCTTCATAGGATTTAAATGTTCACCTGCCTGTTTTTTATCTTCTGTTTCTGCCTGTGGGAAGAGGCTGCCTTCCAGAACAACTTTGATTTCCCAGAAATGTTGATGCAAAATGGCAGTTCTTTGTCTGCATGATAGATGGAGATAAGGAATTCTAAAGACACAAGCAGTGATGTTGAATAATTCACTTCAGACCTTCCTGAGTTTAGTACTCTGTGTTCAAGTCCTTGATTAAATTTAGTCTGTGTCCCAGAAGAGCTCCAAACTTGCCTTCTGTCATGAGGCTGGAAAGACCTGGTGTTCTGATGTGTCTGTTTCCTGACCTGCAGATGACTTTACATGCGTCCTACCGAGTGTGCATAGCTTCACATGCACAAACCTGGGGGCAGGTTTGGTGAGAAGATGATTCTTGTTCTCATGCAAGGATGAGTGCAAAGCCAGAACTGCCTTTTCCAGAACAACCTTGTGCTCCTTGAGTAAACCCAGGCCTTGGAGTGAGCAGCGCTGCTGGGAATTTGGTGTTAATTTTGCTCTCTCTTAAAGCCATCTTGCCCTTACAGGGAGGGATGACGTCTTTGACATCGAGATTGATGCATACATTCACTGCGTTAGTGCCTTTGTCAAACTGGCCCAGAGCGAATACCAGCTCCTGACAGAAATCGTCCCCGAACACCACCAGAAGAAGACCTTTGATTCTCTCATCCAGGTCAGTTGAGCCTTTCTGCTTGGCTTCTCTTGTAAAGGGTACACACAAAGTGTTTTTCCCTTCTTACTGTGAGGATGTGGATTCTAGCACCTGCTGTGTGTGCCCAAGTGCACCACCACTGCTAGAGTTGTCCTCCAGGACCTGTTTAGGGTGCTGGGGCCTGCACAGACCCTGGAGAGTATGTGCTCAGGGTCACTCACTGTGTATGGTAAATGACCTCTCAGTTAAATTGGATCCTTAATGGGTATCCTGCATTGAGCCCCTTGTGCTGCCTGGGCAAAAGTCATGCTGCTTATTTCTGACTCTCTGGCTTTGTTGCAGGAGTCATTGGATAACTTGATCATGGAGGGGGATAACATTGTCTCAGCTGCCCGGAAAGCCATCATCCGACATGATTATTCAGCTGTGCTCACAATCTTCCCCATCCTTAAGCATCTTAAGCAGATGAAGCCAGAATTTGACCAGGTCTTGCAAGTAAGCATGATGGGATTGGAGAGAGTCCTGTGGCTTGGTTAGTCTAGAGAACTTTTTGAAAGGGATTACCACAGTGGCTTTGAACAAAGCCATAATGTTTCTGTCCTCCAGCATGGACTGGAAGTGACACAAATGCAGCTTGCTCTGTTCTGTGATGGTGAACCAGCAACTCAGCATCTCTCAACAGCAGTCTCCAGGTTATCACAAAGTTCTCCAGGTATCACATATGGCATCTAGGTTTAGCAAGGCTCCTTTTCGTCTGCTTCCAGCTCGTGACTGTGATGCACCAACCTCCTGTATCAGGTACTGCATAAGAGGAAACAGGAGAGGTAGCAAGTCCTGGTCACTGTTAGGCTCATATCTTCCCTTTCTGACTGGCAGAAGAATGCAGGATTTCATGTGGTGTTGATGGTGCTGTAAATATTCTCCTGGCACATGGAGATTTGAGAAGGAGATGCTGGGGTGGGGGAGGGTAGGTGCTGGATTAAAGTTCAGATACTGTTTGTTTTCCTCCTCCTCTGATCTGTTGTGGAACTATTCCAGGGCACTGCAGCAGGCACTAAGAACAAACTGCCAGGGCTTATCACTTCTATGGAGACCACTGGTGCAAAGGCCCTGGAAGAGTTTGCAGACAATATTAAGGTAGGAATCTCCTCAGTGTTCTCTCTAGCAAGACCAGTAGGCTTGGAAGATGGATTTTCTGAGCAGAACCCCTAGCTTAGCATTCAGCTTTCCATGAAACTACATAGTTTCTAACTGTAAAGCAGGAACTTGCTGGATTCCTTTGGATGGTCAGCTGTGAATGCCAAGTGCTTGGTGCTGATTTCAAATACAGGAGGCCTCTGCCTAGAACCCTCAACAGGCATACTACAGATAATTTGACATGAGCTTCCAGACCTCTGCAGATACCACGTCAATCTCAGAATTTAATCCTATTCAAAAAGAAAGGAAAATTGCTGACTTGAAAAGTTTTGGAGGACTCATGTTAAACTGTCCCTGTGTAAGGTGGTCTTGGTGAGTGCACTGCCTGGTAGGTGAGCTGAACGTTTGCTGGTCACGTGCTGAACAAACCCCTGTGGTTCTAAGGTGTGGTTTCTGAGCACCAGGATAGGGCACTGCAAGAGCCAGGAGTGAGGATGTTGCCAGTGGCTGGATAAATAAGTCTACAGCTCACTTGCAGCAGCAGTTGTATTGTATATGCCTTCAATTTCCTTATGTGCTCACTTTATGTCTCTCTCTTCCTTTCTTAGAATGATCCGGACAAGGAATATAACATGCCAAAAGATGGAACAGTTCATGAACTCACCAGCAACGTACGTGATGATGATTTGAGCCATTCTTTGTGAAAAACAGCTTCTGAAGAGGTTTTAAAAAGAGTAGTAGGGAAATTTCTTAAGTTAAGCTGCTTTGGTCTTGGAAGGTCAATTAACTGGCTTCCATGGCGAGATTAGCCATGATGTAACTGCGAGGGTAGAACACAACAACTCCTCTGAGTGTAGTGTTGTTTCTTGAAGGCTTTTAAGCGTGGGGGAGCAAGTGGTCCTTTGTGATCCTTAATAGAAGCGTATAGGAGATGCAATGTCAGTTGCTCATAACTTCTCTCCCTTGCTTCCAGGCCATCCTTTTCCTACAGCAGTTGCTGGATTTCCAGGAAACAGCGGGTGCCATGCTGGCATCACAAGGTACATACATGCATGGGGCTTGTTTGGGCATGCATTTCTTTCCCCAAATTGTCTGGACATCTTCCTTAAAAAGATCAAACCTCAGTGTGCACTGCGAGCTTGTTCTCTTGTCCTTCACCCTGTGGTTTGTCTTGCCCTCTGATCTGCTGTGATCATGTAGGTGGTTATGTGGAGAACTCCAAGGGATGCAGAGTGTTTCCCTGCTGACCTTCCACACTTGTTCCTATTAGGTACTCTTGGAATGGTGTTCATTGCTGCTATGTTCTGTGGTATCAAGAGAGGATGCCTTAGTCATTTAACTTCAAATCTGACACTGGGCTGGTCCCCTGTGACTGTACTGGAGGGTGGTTGGTCTAAGTTAGCTTAGTTAGGCTGTGTGTTGATGGATATCTGTCTTTGTCTGCCACATCCTCTGAGCAAAGTATAACAGCAGCAGCAAGAATATTCTCCTCAGTGTGTAGCCACGCTTAAGCTGGGACTCCTGAGTGTGTGCCACATGCCCTAACAGAGAGACAGGTTTTAGTTCTGCTCTCCAGGATGCTAAAGAGACTGCTTCCAGAAAGAAATACACAGATCAAAAGCTGAGAGCTGCTGCCTCATGTAACAGGATGCTGTTGCATATCGGCTAGAGTGTGATTCTTGGTTCTGTGCAGAGCAGCAGCTCCCAGCTCTCTAGTGAGCCCTTGGCCTTGGTAGAGCTCATGCTTTCAAGTAGGTTGGAATAGATCAAACTGGAGAGGTGGAGAACTGGGGATTCTGGGGGTGCAGGCAGCTGAGGGGGCACAAGCCACTAGCTGCTCTTTGGAGGAGGTTAGGGAGCCCATAAGGAGTAGGGGAAGAAGGGAAGCTTACAGCTGCCTTCAGGCTTTTATCTGCAATTCCTGCTTGGAAAATTCTGCCAGTTCCAAATTAATTGAAGCTAGGATGTCTCTCCTTCTTGCTACCTCTCCTCTAGCCACTGACTTGTGCCTTCTTCACTTGCAAGCTCAGCATGCTCAGAGTTTCTTGGTCCTTGACTCTCTCTCCTTGGCCAAAGAGATGGTCTGAGTTTTTTTTCTTGGAAAAACCAGCTGTTTCCCATGTCCTTCCCTGAATGATGATGTCAACACTGTTGTTTCAAAGTCTTGATGTGTTGTCATGCAGTGAGAGCATAGTGAGGCAGAGATCTGTCATAGGAGCTGACTCAAAAGGTAGCATAGGCTTTTTTGTTTTTTTATTGATCATAGAACAAAATGTGATCATATCCATGACACACAAGCTATTTTGTTTTTAATTGTGGCTGGTTGTCCCATCAGATATAGAGGGATCCTGCTGTGTAAAGACGGCTTCAGAAAAATGCCTCTTTGAAGTCTGTTCAAAAAGATTGAAGTCGGTATAATTGTAACAGATCTGGTAACTTGGACTGATGTGTGGTACCTCAGAGCCACACACGAGGTGACCCACGATCCAAGTATTGTAAATCCTCTTCTCTCTGTCTGCAGTCAGACCCTGGGGACTGTCTGCTGCCAGGTACTCCCTGCTTGCTGCCAGTGTTGTTCTCCTGCAGAAACAGCTCTGTTGCTTGCTCCAAAAGCTGGGCCTGTCCCTATGTGGGCACCCACACAAGGCACAGCTGTTCTCATTTTGACTGACACTGGTTACTGAATGCTGGTGAAGTTGTGGTCGCTGTCTGTCTGCAGACCTGACATCACCCTAGACCATGCATCATCAGACCAGAGGTGATTATGTCAGTGGAATTTAAGGGGGGAGCTGCTTCTGCAGACAGAGGCATCTGCTTTGGGATGGTGACTTGTCCCCAAGGGTGCCTCTCTAATGACAGCTTCCAGTTGCTAGCTCCGGTGTGGGTGTCTGGAGTTGGGTTAGGTAACTGCTACAGTGATCCTAAGCAGTGGGAGATACGTGCAGTTTTTCCTGACGTTTGCCTCATGTGGTAGCGGAAGCAAAGCTGATCAGTTAAATGCAGTGAGGCCAATCCCTTGCTCTTGCCCGCTGGAAGGCTCTGTAGGGCTCTGTATAGCCATGCGGGGATGCCAGAGTGCAGAGTGGGGCTGGGATGGCTTTGCTCAGGTTCTTGGGAAGGTTGTATGGGCTGTGCAGTAAACTGGTGCTGGCATGAGTGCAAGACTTCCTCTGCCTTGAAAGTGGGTTTAAACTGATTTGGAATGAGGTGTCTTGCTAAAATACGAACAACAACAATACAAACAGTATCTCTAGCATGGGAGGGAGATTAGACTCTGCCTTTCTTATCTCCTTTTATGACTAGGTGA